TCTTTCTTTCTTTCTTTCTTTCTTTCTTTCTTTCTTTCTTTCTTTCTTTCTTTCCCTCACCTATTCCCCTCCTTTCTTAATTTTTAAGTTAACATGCCTGTTCTTGGAAGTAATAGCTCAAAAAATGCTCTAAGTACTCCTACTCACAAAACTCTACCTCTATCCCCTTCTCTCCACTTTACAGTATTCTCATTGTATGGAGCCCCTGATCTCCACATAAATGAGTGCATCAGTTTCAGAGATGGTTTTTTTTTTTTGTCATTCTGTCCCCAAATTTCTAACATGCCTTCTCGGCTGTTCGGAGCCAGGATCCCTCTGTTTCAGAGGTATCTACTAAATCAGTTGGATTTAAATTCAGGGAATTGTCCAGCTCCAAATGACATTTCTAGTTTATTCCTCATATGACCTGGTATTTCTTTCATATACTAGTTGTTCACATAAATCAGTGACACAGTTTCATGTTTGTTTTCAGGTTTCTGGTATCAAATGATCTTACCTCCTCACTTTGATAAATCCAAGAAGTACCCTCTGCTCATTGATGTGTAAGTCAAACTGCTTGCTCCTGTTATTTATGGCCAGAATCCGATCGGAATACTTCTGCTACATCCTTCTGCTTCCACCAAAATTGGTGACCCTCCCTCCTGCAGTCCCTCCATACACTGTGGAAACCACACAGCAGAGGAGGGAGGAAAGAATATTCCAGTTCTATGCAGGAAGTGTTAATTAACTCATTGAGAATGAGGCCCAGTCAAAAGAAGCCATTGAGTACATTATTGAATCCTTTGAAGCATCATGTCCATCCATGTTCAGGAAATAGTGTCTATCATGTTTCCTGGATGAAAGAGGTTGGTGGAAAAGGTTATTGCTCTCCTCCACTCAGCACGAAATAACATGCACGTTGTTTCTGTTGTACATGACTAGTGGGAAGCATTTGGCGGAGTTGAAACAGTTGAATTTGTGGGCTTGATTTTCCTCCTACCCTTCCTGTGCTCCATCATTTCCTTTGAGAAGAACCAAGCTCTCGTCCAAAGTGTGATTTTCCACCAATTTTTTTCAAGGAGTTCTGATAAAATCTGTTTCCACACATGAAGCTTGCATTTGACTTTGTTTTGCCATTTAATATTAATTAAAATGCAGCACAGTTTTTCAAGCAAAAGGCAGAGGAAATAGAGTATTTGTAGCATTTATTGTTACCTTAGTTCATATTTGCATTTTAGCTTCATATGTGAAGAACATCTTAAGGACTACTTAGAATTGCTGTTGGGTGTTTTTTGTTTTTCAAGTTAAGCTTGCCTTTGATAACCCTGCAGTCAATAACAAAGAGCAATGAGAAAGATGCCTTCCTAAATGTGACTTTCCTAGAAGGTGTTGATTTCTTCTTGCATTCCCTGCTGTCATTAGGAAGCAAGGGTACACAGGAGGAGCTCATTAGCTTGGAGGGCAAAGAGTCAACATTCTGCTGAAAACAGCTGGTTTATTAATTCTGTTGAGACCCATCCAGAGTCTGTTAAAATCGACTGAAACACTCCTACTGATATTCATAGATTATCTCTAGATCAAGACTGTAATGTGCCATGGAAACAACTAGCCCAGAAGACAATGGCCAAGCAATAGTCACAGGTAAAAGAAGAAGAACGTGGACTAGTTAGTTCCAACATTAATCTGTTGCGCAGTTAGGGGGAAAAAGATAGTGTTCCTTCTTACTTATCCCGTAAAAGGCAATTCAGAAACATAACAAGACATGTTCGCTGGACCCTGAACATATGCTCTTGGATCCTTTCCTCCTTCACACTACTCTGCACATATTAATGTATTTGCATTCATTACCCCATTTTTTTCTAATTGCAAATTAGAGGAATTTGCTTTTCATAGTAAATAGAGAGGAAATAATCTGTATTTACAGAAAAATGGCTGTAAGGAATATCTCATATATCAGTTGCAACTCTTCAAGCTTTCTGTAATCTTAATATATATTGCCACAAAATTCTAATTTATATTTCTAAATATATGCATGTACTGTTGCATAATGATCACTGGAATTATTACTTACTTGCCTGCTTAAAATTTCAGTGGGCAGTCATTAACATGGACATTTTTATAAAAATTCTAAACAGCAAAAGTAATTCTTTTGTCTTGTTGATCCATTGGAACATGGATGTGCAGCTTTTAGGATACTGTGTAGATAAAAGAATATGGAAATGGACTCTGGACATCTCAGGCATGTTTTAGGTTGAAGGATGCCTAGAGGCAAATGCATAAATTTATTAATATTAATGTTTTAATCATTGTTTTTAGTATAGGATATTACTATAATATTGCCTATTTTTAATGGTTTTAATGTTTTTAAAGTTTTAACATTGTTGTACAGTGCTCAGAGACCACTGCTAATGGTGCGGCTAAAATATCTTGTAAATAAATATATAAATGCTTAGGTTCTGCTGCAATGCAAGCAAACCAGGTTGGGTCTTTCCTAGGGAACTTAGTATACCATTAAGCTCCAGACCTTTTTCAAGGAAAACATCCATGAGAACCTGTCACTTTGGTAGATTGTTGTATCAGTTGAAATGGGCTGATGTCATGGATATATCAAGGCAATCTCTGCCATTAATTCTTTTGACACAGATAATCTCTTAACACTTGCCTCCTTTTGATCAGGGTTGGTGCCACACTTTATTGAGATCTTAGTATACTGCAAGTCATTAGCCACTCTGCTAATGCTGACCTGCATTCCTGCTTGGCAGTGCTGCAAACTCTCATAACCATTTAGGCTGTTTGGTAATGATGCGATTGCTAGCCACTTTCATCCTGCCAGTGGCCAGGCTAACCTGGTGGTGCTGCCACTTTGAGGATGGGAGCTGAGTGGCAGAGCCAGCAGTTATATTCATCTTATATTTTCAGCTGTGCTGTGCTGAATGTTCGTGCCAGTCACCGTGTTTCCAGAAATATGATGTAACATTCACCTGGCACTGATCGGAGCTGACTGACCCCCTTGACTTCCATTTACAAGCTCTGTATGGTGCCATGCAAGCAGGCTAGGCTACATTAGAGTTTTCTATAGAGAGAGTGCTCAGAAGTGGTTTGCTGTTCCCTTCTTCTAGTGAGGTACTGGGAGCTTGCCCAAGAGTATACAGGTTGCCTCTTCTCTTAGGACCATAGGGAGAACTGAACTCCCAATCCCTATCTTTACAGCCAGGTGCTCCATCTCACTGAGCTGTTAAACCAGTGAACTCAGCTATACAGTATAGCTATATATATCTCCTTCTCTAGCTATTTAGATTTATCGTTTTACAATCTACGGTGCATGCCTGAAACTACAGATACAAGGGAACCCTATATACAGTGTACAAAGCGGTGGAACAAAGGCCACAAGAAAGCACCCTTGTGTGTTGTTTGTAGGGCTGCAGCAAACTGCAGATAAATGAAACCATGGATATCCATCTGTGGATAAGGGGGTCATACTGTATTAGTTAGAGATAGAGATATTACTCCTTTTGTTTCTTTAGGCCTCTGTGTATTGAAATAACCAAAGACCCTCCATAACATATTTATCAATGCCATAAAAAAAATTCTTTCACAGCTGTGTAATGCCCGTGAAATTTTTTAACAGCTGCATAATGCTCGTTACATGTGTATGTAAAATAGTTCTTCTGAAAAGTTCAGGTGAGCAGCAGTTTTTGGTTTTTCAGTTCCAGATGCAGTTTGTTTTCCCAGAATGGTGGTTCCCTTTAAGTGTGTGTGTGTGTGTGTGTGTGTAAAAATATATATAAATATAAAAATTGCCATATATAAAAATAACCTGGCCTTCTTTCCACAGGTATGCAGGCCCCTGCAGCCAGAAAGCAGATGCCGCCTACCGGATCAATTGGGCTACATACCTCGCAAGCACAGAGGGGGTTATTGTAGCCAGTTTTGATGGCAGAGGAAGTGGCTACCAAGGAGACAAAATCATGCATGCAATATATCGAAGACTGGGAACCTATGAAGTTGAAGACCAGATCCTGGCCGCTAAGTAAGCACACGCCGAAGCATCTCGAGCAGACCTTGTCCTGCCTGGATCTTAGCATTCGCATGAGACACAGGCTACCATATGTCCTTCCTTCAGAGCCAGATATGTCGTGAAAAATAAAGATGGCTAAAAAATGACTGGGTCTGTAAGAATTGGTGCCAGAGGTTTTATAAAACTTCATGTTCCTCTTACTTGTCCTCCAGGAAGCATGGAGGGAGTGGGAGGAGATAAGAGATGGCTTGGAGTGGGGCGGGGCCATGTGAAGTATTGAAAATGGCATGCTTTTTTCTTGAACAATTGCACCTTGTGTATTTTATGTGTATTTTTTTTAACAGAACATTTTCTGAAATGAGCTTTGTTGATAAGACAAGAATAGCTATCTGGGGCTGGGTAAGTATTAAAGCTATTCCTCCTTTATGTAAGTTAAATGGTTTAGAACATCCTGTTGTCATTAAGAAAAAATAATAATGCACAAGCTGCAATCATATGGAGAAAAGACAGGCTGGATGCAGTGCATGGGGCTCCCCTATCCAGTCCATGGAGGTTCCTCCCTAGGCCACCTACCCCCACGCTACTTGCACTTTAAAAAAAAAGGCAGAGGAGGAATTTTGCTCTTGTTGGGCAGAAACCTACTGTTTAGATTTGTCACCGATCAGAGAAAAGAGTGAGTTTTCCTGCAGCGTGATACAGTTACCATTGCCTTTCTCTAATATTGAGCTGTTCCTATCTCATGGATGAAGTGGGTGAAATGATGGATTAAAAAAAGATGTGGGGGCATCTGGGGTACAGCTTTGGGGGGAGAGCTTTGCAAAGGAGGACCCTGTGGGGTGTGAGAGTGTGACCCACTTAGCTGAGCCAACCTAGTACACATTTTCTTGCAAAGAAGCTCTCTTTGTTCCAAACACGCTTGCTTAATACTGTGCTTAAGTTCACAGGCTTTCTGTGTTGCTCCTTCCTGTTTATCCTTCCCACAGTGTGGTGACACAACCATGTACCAGCTTTTAAAAGTGATGATGTGTCTACCCTCCTTTCTGCACTGTTTTGTTTTTAATGTAAACATGTAGCCATCTTTGGACGGGGAAAGGACAAGATGAGTTGCCAGGTCATCGTTTCTTACAAACTGTTGGCTGTAAGCAAGGGGCTTTAGGGATGATGTCTCAACACCCATTTCCTTTCCTGCAGCCAGCATAGAAGGAGGGATGCCTAATGGATATCCTGAGAATTCTTCCCAATCCCAACATGCACATTTCCACCCTTTCAGAGTTTTAGAGCAGATGAGGTAAACTGGTATCTTTTGAAAAAATAATCTGGGATTTCTAGGCCAGTAGTCTGTCCCTAGCAATCAACTCACAAGGTGATGCTGCAGCTGATGTAGAAGGGAATTCCCACTGTCAAGCTGTGGCAGATGGTGTTAGAGGGCAAAGTGTGCTGGCACAATGGCTGTACTGCCGCGGGTGTGAGCACAGGCTGTTGTTGATGACAGCTCACACCCATGCAGGGACCGGCTATCCTGATACTGAACATAGGCGTGCTGAGTGTTTGTAGAAGGACAAGTGCTTATTCCCGACCTCTTCTGCTTTCCTAGCAAAGTTGGAAACCCATCCTAAGTAAAGATGGGTTTTCCAGCTGTGGTTCAGTTGCCATGCTGGAGCTGCCATGGCTCTAGAACCTCCGCTGAGGTTCCACAGCGCTCAGATGCTAGAGCGCTTGAATCAATGTGATATCTGCATGCTCAAGGGGGATGTAGAATATGCCTTGCTGTTCAGACTAATGCAACTGATCAGCAATCTCTCTCTCTCTCTCTCTTACACACACACTTTTGAATTCTACAAAGGCAGAAACATCACCGCTGTCTTAGTCCACCAAGAAATCTGTAGTATGTATATATATGGTATCACAGCCGTTTTAACATGGTTCGTCCCAGCACAGTGATGGAAATGAATAGTAGATACTTGAAAATAAGCAGCAAGAGAAAAGCAGACTTCCGACTGCCCTTATGTACATGAGTTGTCCCACAGAGAAACTGGGACTATGTAGGGAGAATTTCCAATATGGGCTTTTCACACCTGGCAGACAAGTCCTTATGTTCTGTGTGAGGCATAGAACTGAGCTGTGATGGAATGGCTCCCTTGCCACCGAGCGAATGCCTGGCTGTGGTTCATTCCTAGGCAAACAGAGGCACAGGTAAAACTCTGAAAATGGAGGCATGATCCACTCACAGTGGAAGGAGATTAACAACAGATCTGTTTTCAATAATAGTCTTTCTTTCCTCCTAGTCATACGGTGGCTATGTGTCCTCCATGGTGCTTGGATCAGGAAGTGGCGTGTTCAAGTGTGGAATAGCGGTTGCCCCTGTGTCACGCTGGCAGTATTATGGTATGTGATTCATTCTATGCAACAAAAAGAGAGAAAAAAAGAAGAAAAAAGAAAGCTGTTCTGCAAAGCATTACAAAATCATGCCTGCAAATGCTTCATATCCCTTGCATGGTGAAGGCTCCTTTCTAAGACATAGAAGGTTTTTTTTTTAAATATATGAATGCATTCTCCTCCCACACAAAGTGCCATTTGGTCTGCCTTCATGAACTTGTGTGCAAGGCATTACACAGTGTCCCTGGATTCATATTTTCCAATGAGAAACTTGGATGTGAAAAGGAAAAAATAATCTGCTTAACCTTTAAAAGGCAGAAAATTCCTTAATATTTGAAAATTTTACTATAATGCAAATGTCTGCATTTGCATTCCTCTAAAGTGCCATGTGTTCCAAAGTGTTGAGGGATCATTTCTGAATGTCATAAAATTCATTAGCAGTGCTACTAACTTCCTTTACTTACAGTGAGCTTCAAAGGGAGAGGGGTCATATATTTAATCCTTTCTGTCATTTATATTATTGATTATTTCTTATTAATGTAGATATTGGAATTAGAATATTAAATTGCAGTAACTAGTGGAGGTGTTAGCATTAGTTTGCTTTATAAAACTCTAGAAAGCTTCCCGAGGCCAGGTGTGACAATTAAGTCCCTACATCTTATCTCTCTTCTTTTCCAAGGTATAGGATTACTTGAACTACAGGGCAGGAAGAGATGCCCTGTCCATCTTTCTCTTTGGGATGGCTTCCGTAGCTACCAAGTTTATTTTAATTAAAAAAAAACTATAGGACAGTATGGATTTACTAAATTTGCTGGCAGACAATTAGTGGATTTCATTAAGGGCTTTTGCCATCTGCTTTGAATAATATTTAAGAGCTCATTTCCCACTATCAGTCCCAGAAACTATGGGTTAGTCTACTATTAGAAAAAAAATGTATATTCAGCCTACAAATTACATCCATTAGTCTAGTTGCATATGCCCAAGTGGGACAATCAGTTACTAAAAAATTGAATACTGCAACTCCAGTGGTTTCATTTTCAATATACTTGAAATGTCTAAAATGAAACCACTGGAGTTGTGGTATTCAATTTTAGGGGCATAGAAGTTGAAGAGACTATAGTAGCTTTATTGAAGTTGGGAATGGTTGACAGAGGCTTTGACATCCTATGACATCACACGTTATTCTTTGCCCTAAGGTCACCTGTGGTCAAGAAAGATTCCAGGGTTTGTTGGGTTTTTGTGTGTGTGTGGGGGGTTTTTCGGGCTCTTTGGCCGTGTTCTGAAGGTTGTTCTTCCTAACGTTTCGCCAGTCTCTGTGGCCAGCATCTTCGGAGGACAGCACTCTGTGCTCTGAGGATGCCGGCTAACAAGACTGGCGAAACGCTAGGAAGAACAACCTTCAGAACACGGCCAAAGAGCCTGAAAAACCCACAACAACCATTAGATCCCGGCCGTGAAAGCCTTTGCGAATACGTTTGTTGGTTTGTTTGGGGTTTCCCCCCCCCCAAACAAAACTTGTGAAAATAGCATGAAAATGTGAGCCAGAAATCTGTTTCAGAGACCTGCAGCTCTCCAGCTGTAAGATGCTAGAATCTAGTAAAATGGGAGGAGCTTCCCCTCCCCCCCCCCATAAGGTTCATTTAGTATCTGTAGGGCAGCAAGCTCCTGGTTATAGAGATTTGAAGCTCCCTGAAGGGAATGGGAAGTGCAAGAGCTGGGACCTTGGGAAGCCTGTGTTGGTGGTGTCAGGATGGAATGAAAGTCCTATAGATGGAGAAGGTTTACAATTTATGAAGCCCCCCAGCTTGGGGATTTCCCAGGCTCTGATAGTTAGCCTGCTTCATGTGTGGAGGGTTGGTCCAGGTGATTTTCTAAGGTGTCTTTGCTGGGGTGGCCCTCCACTCTGCTTGTATAACAGTCAACTGTTCTGCTGATTCCTGTACACCAAAATATCTCAGGCAAGCAACTGGAAACCAGGACTGGCTAGTGAAATATGGCAAGTCATGATTTGGCATAAACTTTTGTGTTAAAGAGGCCAGGAGTCAAAAGACAACTTCTGTGATATGTGATAACTGTTCTTTTTCCCCATCCAAAATCCCCTGAAGAAACAGAAGCTACACAGAGATGAAACAGGTGTATGTGTCTTCCTTGATGAATCATGTTTGTAGAAGGTCTGAGAGATGAGGAGGTGTGGGACAGCAGATGTTGACCAAAAATTTTTTAATGCGCTTTGAGTCTATTGCACATGGTATCTTGCTGACTGGGAAGCCTTTGCCACTCACTTGTACCTCTTAATTCATTGCATGTACACACCTTGTAGCCGGGTCCCTCCCTCTCAGCTTATGATTTCTTTTTTGGTTTTATTTCCCCTGCTTCCATCCCACGCTTTAACATCTTAATATGCATCTTTAACAAAATGCAATGGCTCTGATCCAGAGTTCACTTTCCACAGAAGGGACTCTTTTCTCCACAGAAGCTGCCTAAGCTAGTGGAGTGATCCCTTTGGCTGATCACCCTTTCTGTTCAACCCCTGGAAACTTCTTCCATGGAATCTCAATTTTATAAACCAGTGGGTGCCCAGAGGGTGGTAGGAAGGGACCAGCAAAAGGTGCCGACTGCAGTGCCAACAGCAGGAGTGTCTCTTGAGCTCAACATCTCTGATTAAAATCTATATCCAAGCCAATAACCTTTTTTAAAAATATCCTGCAATTGCAGATCTGAAGGGTGCAAACACATTATTTTATCATACTCTCAGGAAATATTTCACTGATGAAAAACAATAATAACAGCAGCAGCCAAAGCAGCAACAACAATTTTACTTTGGCGTAAGGTAGTTGGGAATACATGACATTGCTGTTGCCATGGGCAACCACATGCTAAACATTAATCAACAAATATGTTTACCTACCATCCTTTATTGAGAGAAATAATAACTTGCTTTTCTTAGTGTAACAGAAGACTTTTTCTTTTACTTTATTGAAAGTCAAAATAAGGAGAAGAATGCATAGCCTTTCTTATTCATATCAGGGCTACTTTTAATATAATGGCATTTTACATCATTGTTTTCCTCTCTCTCTCTCTCTCTCTCTCCCCCCCCCCCAGATTCTATATATACTGAACGCTACATGGGCCTTCCTGAAGCAGGTGATAACTTGCACAACTATGAGGTAAGGCCATATTATCAAATATGTGTTATACATACAAAATTACATTACAGTAGGACTGACATATTCACAGGATCAGTACCCACAGTCTCACTTTTCCACTGCCTGAAAATATTAAATAAAACCCTGAGAAATAGGTGTTTCGAAGGTGTATTACCAGAACTGGCAACTAGAGGGAACCAGAGACTGTGGTCCCACTGTGGGGTGGGGGGGGGGTTGGAACCAGTCCCCAATGAATATCCAACATTGTGTCACAAGATGTTTGCTCATGGATGAATTCTTTTGACCAGCATCTCCTGAGGTTAGGTAGGAAAGTAGAGTGGGATAGGAATAAAACTTCCCTTGCTGTTCCCTTAATTGGATAGCACCCTGTACTTATTTTGGAAGACATGATAATGTATTGGATTTATACAGAGCTTACATTTACAAATAGGCCAATACGCCCTGCAATTTATAGCTTCCTAGCTCAATTTTTTGGGGGGGAAAGGCTCAGTACTTATCAGCACCCTCTCGTAGAATGGTTTCATGGGTGTTGCTAATACATTCTAGAGTATTCCAGAGTTAAACCTGCATGTTTGCTGTATTCTCGAAGGCTTTCACAGCCGGGATTGGAGGATTGTTATAGGTTTTTCGGGCTGTTTGGCCATATTCTGGAGATTTTTCTTCCCAGCGTTTTGCCAGTCTCTGTGGCTGGCATCTTCAGAGGACAGGAGTTAGAACTCTGTCTGTGTTTGTTTGTTTGTTTGTTTGTTTGTTTGTTTGTTTATGTATTTATTTATGTATTTATTTATGTATTTATTTATTTATTTCATAGAACAAACATGTTCTGCATGTTTGCTGTTTAAGAATACTGTACTATAGACATAACTGTTCCTACACTCTGGGTTGTTGGTTTGCCTGCCTGCACGTGTCCTTCCATATGACAAAAATATCTAAGCATGTAATAAATCACTACTGCAAACCTGCACTTTATTATGCTACACATAGCAAATGTAGTATTACTCTATGTTGTCAAAATCCATTTGATAATTTAATACAGCACCATAATTGCTTAAAGGCAGCTTCATCTTGTGAACAGGGGAGGAATTTGAATCATAAACAGGGGAGAAATTTGAATTATAAACAGGGGAGGAATTTGAATTACCTAGGCTAGTGGTTTGCCATGTAGGAAGCAAATGCAAAGCAACTGTGTTTCCAAGAGCTACCTGCACAACTGCTCTTGAATGTACACACACTCACAGAGAGTGCAGTTAAGAGAGAGGAGTGTTACTTGTGCATTCGCTAATGGTATGGCAAATATACAAAACTCATTCCAAATTACTCAGATGCTTTCAAGAACCACCAAGGTGATAATCATGAGATGTATACAGCCTGTATTGAAAAAAATTAACCATGTGCTGTCAAGTCAGTTCTGACTTTCAGTGACCCTTTCCAGGGTTTTCCAGGTAGGGAGCACTTAGAAGTGGTTTACCTTTCTTTCCTTCTGGGGGTTGACCTGGGACTGAGCAGTTTGCTGCACCGCCTGGGTCTTCTGTAATGCACAGTGGGGAGTTGCCCTCCCAACCTCTGGCTCCTCAGCCAAATAGCAACTCACTGAGCTACTAATTGAATAAAAACAGCATTATTAATTCAAGATGATAATGACTTGACCAAGCTCCCTGTTTGGCTATATAAAAATCTTGTGTTCTTTTTTTCCATACCTTGCCTTGCTATCCTGTGGTATTACATGATGTTGTGTTGTGTTGTGGTTTTTTCAATTAAAAATACTAGGGAATTTTTGCAGTAACACCAATTTCAGAGTTGAATTTGCCTTTGATCATCAGAGTCTTCTCTGTAGATCCTTGCCATGTGAATGAACCACATCAGCAAGGAATTGGTTTGTGTCATTTTGTTTGTTACAGTAGCATGCCTTCTCCTGTATTTGCTCAAATGGAGTCTGTGCAAACATTAACTCTGGTCCTAAACTAAAGGGGGTGGGGGGGTGGAGGTAGAGAGAGAAGTAGATGGATAATATGTGTCTCCAAAATTAAATAAAGGATGCATTTGCACCGACAGACGTCTTGTTAAAAAATCCTCCCTTTTTTGTTCTTGTCATACTGTTTCCTGCTTTCACTTTGTTACTGTCATTGGGGGACAATTCTCCACCTTCTGCCATTGCTGGACGGTCCTTTCTGCCCAACCAGAGGTGCATCATACATGATAAAAGGGAGAAAAACCTCTCAAAGGGAATGTAATATAGGTGTATGTGAGCAGAAGCATTTCAAAGAATTCAGTGAGATGTCTTAGGAGGGTGTGTAATTCAGTGTGGAGAAAGCTAAACAAAGGTGCAACTGGATTTAAAACAATAAAGAAAAACTTGTGGTTACAGACAAACATATGCAGCCAAGTTGAATGGCCCTTTTTGTAATTAAAAAAAAGAAAGTGTTGAGATAATTTGATGAGTGTGAATTAGGGTGTAATTTATCCTTTTCTCATCCCACACTTATCCACTGTAATTGTCCCTTACCTACATTTCGCCTTGTAAGCATTCACCTGGAGCCTCACATTCTCACAGAATGTGGAGGAAGAGACTGCAGCAGAAAAAGGATGCATCTGTCAGGAGAAGTACTGAGCATCACCAGCTCTTCCCTTCTGCATCTCCTCCCCAATTACCTTCTTAACATAGCTGTTGTGATTTTGGTGATGCACATTCAGCATCTCATTCTGCCCTAAGATAAAGGTAGTGGACGGGAGGTGGAGCAAAGCCAGGAAGAGAAGGTGGGGCTGCCAAACATTCTCCCCAAGGGTCTCCCAAGGGGCAAAGCCCGGGCAAAACAACCTGGTTTTGTTAGAGAGTTATTTTAATACTAAAAATTAGGTAATGGAGCATTTGAATGCCTGTTGGGTAACTTTGAACAAGTCATACTTTTCCCTCTGTAGATGTCACAGGCGGCCGGCTGATGCAGAAATGAGCATAACGAATACCAGGAAAGTAAGCAGCATTAAGTGCAGATTGCACAAACTGCAAACAGCACATACTAGAACGACTTGTGTAGGAGTTCGGTCACATTCATGGAAGACATACATGCCTGAGAGCTCAACTTTGATGGTCATAGAGGTCTTTGTGACCTTTTTTCTACTGCCCTTTTTAAAGAGACAATGTCCCTGATACCCTCAAGCTAGATTTTCACCCTTGTGTTGTCCCCTGCCCTTTCCTCCCGACAGCTGCTTTGCATATAAATGGACTCCCACTTCCTGATCTGTTCTAGCCAGCCTCACTCCCACACCTCACCCCACTCCTCATTATGTTCCATTTGGGATTTTTTTTGGTTGCTGAATAACTTGGGGCTCTATTAAGGCAGCCTGAGTGGTAGCAGACCGGCAAGGCACTTATGGAAATGGAAGTCTCTTAACTTGCTACAGATTGAAATGTTACTGCTCTGGGTGCACAATGTCACTCGGCAACTTCGCAGCACAGATGGCACCAGAGGACTGTGTAATCCTTTTTGGTGCCAGGAGTCGCATTTTCTTGGCGCCGCATCCATTGCTGGCAGTGTCCACGTTGAAACTGCCAGTACCAAAGAGTTAAAGGTTTCCAATGTGTTACTCAGAGGATTAAATTGGAGAGGTTGCAAGCTGGGCTAGCAGGGAGGGGAAGGGAGGGGAGGGAAACTGATCAGATTGTGGCAATGCCTCATATTCCCTGACAGTAGGAAAGGGAATACTACTCTCTTCAATTCATGTCGTTGTAAGAGTCAAGGAGAAGAAATACTTTGCATGGTATAAAAAGTTAACTTGGGTGGATGCTGTTTCTCTGCAGGGCCCCAACGTTCTCTTTCTCTTGGAACTGATTATTCCCTGTATTTCTACTTCCTTCTTCAAGAGGACTGGAGGATCTTTGAGAGATCACATCCTTTTTTAAAAGAGTCAGTCAAGCATTAAACATTCTTTTTCTTTTTAATCTTTTTTTAATTAAAAAGGCACAATTCTTAACACTGTCTATTCAAGAGAGATCGTAATGCTTGAGATTCATTTTAAATGTAGAAATACAAACAGCAACTTCTTTTGCTGTAGCTGACGGAGGGATCTCATGCTAAATAAGCTAGAAGTGTCCACATGATCTCTCCTCCTGGCAGAGCTTGGAAAGTTACTTTTAAGAAGAGTGAATATAATGACATATTAATACAACCCAGAATTGAGCAGCAGGGACCAGAGCATCATCCAATCACTGCTCAGTTATAGATAGCTTCCTTGTGTCATCATATTCATTCATCATAAAAGTAACTATTTAAATTCTGCTTACATGGCAGACAGTCCCTTTCCTTGTCATAGTTTTTCCAGAATATCTCTGGAATTCAGGGTGGCAAATAGCAGTGCATAGAAATAGGCATGGAAGTAGCAGAGGTGGATATGGGTTTTACTCATGTCAGGACCTGTTTTCCCTAATTTTATGGGATCTGAATGCAAAATGCCGGAGCATAAGGTTGGGTTGCAGGTTTCATTAAGGAATGCCAGCAAAGCAATGGTTTGATTTTATTTTTAAATGAAAATTTTCTGCTGATAGTTCATAGATGGTTAACAAACTGAGGAAATGCCCTGCAGAGTGATTGCCCAGTCTGATACATCTGCTAGTGCTTATTATGACATAGGCACACAAAAAATTCAGTCACAGCAGTTGTTGCTTGAGACCCGATAGTTTGCATATCTGCATGCCCAGCAAAGACTTGTGCATGCCCACAAGGTCATACACAGGAGCTCGGAACAGGAGCAAAAAACCAGGCTCACCAAAGAGAAAAATGCAAAAACATTTCAGTTTTAGTTATAGGCACACATGTAGGAAGGAAACGGCAGACACTGAATCTGGGTGAGGATTTCATGTCTGTTTTCCTCCCCCGGTCCCATCAGTCTTCTGTTTCCTGACCTTTTCATCTGCTATCAAACTGAGCCAGGCAAGTTACAGCATGGGCACCCAGACGTCCCATATTACTGAGTCAGACGTAGATGCACATGTGCACATGCAAGCA